TGCACTATTTTAAAAATTGTCAAAACACCAACAATACACTGTACACTGTAAAAATTCATACCAGATGCCACATCTGCTTGTTTGTAAACACAAGATCCTATGCGGTTAAGGAAGGTGTTTAGAAGTCAAAAAATACGCATAAATAAATAAATAAAGCTGACAATGTATGAGCCAAACAAATAACTCCCGTTCACATTGTTTACTTAATAGGCTATGTGTAATGCCTAAAAAATATCTTGTCAAGAGGGTTTGTTTATTTTAGAGATTACAATTTATCCATAATGAAACGATTAATAATAATAATAACAATCTTATATAATAATAATAATAATAATAATAATAATAATAATAATGAGGCGAAATTAAGTGATACTTGAGAAGGTACCTATTTACACCATTATTTATACAAAAGTTCATTTTAAGTTTTTGCTTATCGATGACCCACAAATCACTTCTGAGTAATTACATAGAATAGTTTTGTGTTTGTACTTTACCGGAAAGGTAGGATAGGATATTTTTTAGGTGTATTGTTCAATGTTATGATAGGTAGCACTTTTTTTGCTTTTACAATAAATGCTTCGTAACTGTCTTGGATTGTGTGTGTGTGTGTGTGTGTGTGTGTGCGTTGATGGTACAATGATAGAATGCTCACCAACCACGCCTCATGTAGTTCGGGGCTCTATCCCTGGCCACTGACGATCTCCACAACGTTTTGGCATAAAGCTAGCAACTTCAAGCCTCTAGCTTGAAGCCCACTATGCTCTATTGGTAACGTAAGCGAATAAAATAATAAATAACTGTCTTTGAATACTCTTTCAGCATTGATTGTAGCTTATCAAGTCGAAGTTGTTAAGTGGTCTTGTAACTTGAAGGTCCTGGCGGCGTGCTGTGTGCACACTGCTGAGGAGCCCAAGAATTTGATGAAACAATTACCTAGTACTCCCTGCATTCTCTCCCTCTAATCTAACAGTTGAAATTAATATAAATCTCTTAGTCTAAATATCATTCTCCAATTGACTGACGGTTAATGGATAGATTTCCGGAAGATGCAGTGTCCCAAGATGTAGGAGATGCCTATCGAAGCCATTCGTGAGGGCGACGCTGTATTAGGAATTGAAAAAGTTAGAATTCAGTTGTGATTGAGCTTGGTCTCATAACTTAGTCGTTCCGGGTACGTTTCCTGAAGGCGTTATGAGTGCACACTATTGAGGAATTCCAGAATAGGACAAAACAGCTATTTATAGCTTCCCAATGTGTTGAAAATCTAATAATTCTTATTAAACGAAGCGACAGGAGTCAAGACTATTGAAGTGGTTTCGTTGTTTTTTAAAAAGTTATCAATATACTTGGTTAGCTGGGCAGATCTTTGATTTGATGATCACACACTTAGTGATTATTAAACTTTTTAAGAAATCACCTACATAAATAAACACTGCTACTTCTAGATTATTAAGATATACATTTGAAGCTAGTGACATGTGTGAGTAAAGGTAGTGAATTCATTTGGTTTTTTGTAAATAAGTATGAAGCATAAGTTGGTACTCCTTGAATACCCCAGTTATCACGACGAGCTTATTATCAACCAGTGCCATCGGTTACTATCTCGTTGGTTTGTTCACACTGGATATTTGATATTGTGTAAGGGATAAACATCGAAGAGTTACGAGCGAATACCGACAAACTGGTCGAAGAAGGAGACAGTCAAGACACGACTCCAGGGGAACATAGACAAGACTGAGGTTATGAAAGTAAACAACCAACAACAACAACAACGGCAGAAACATCCAGCGCCAAACACCATCAACGGGAAGGATTTGAAAGAGGTTACTTCATTCATTCACTTATCTAGGAGCATTGTCTCAACCACAGGAACGGAGGAACGGACGAGGATGTCAAATCAAGTGAGAATGGGGAAGGCGAGAACACACATATTCATCAACCTGAAACCAATCTGGAAATCTCCGTCACTCAGTCAGAATCAACAACAAAATTCGCTTGGTCCGATTTTCAATACAAACAACGTCAAGTCAGTCAGTTCTTCTATACAGATCGGATGAGAAACTTGGCTTCACAAAGAATATTTCCAACAGGCTGGCTATTGCACACCTTTATCAACAACTCACTGTATTCGCCCTATACTGACTGAAGAACAGATGGCCAGGCCGGAAAGAATCACAGTCACCAACAGGAAACTATGGGAACATACAAAACAAGAAGCAATCGCCCACCCAACAAATATGCAGGAGAAAGTGGATTGAGATGGATTGGACACTCGCTCGCTGAGGAGGCCACTGGATGACATCGCGCACGTGTCAGGTCATTTCTCGAGTGGAACCAGGCCGAAAGGGAAGCGGAGAGTGGGACGTCAGTGCTATGGGTGACATGGAGGAGATGGTGTGAAGAGGAGTTGAAAGGTATGGACTAAAATGGATGCAGGTGCAGGTGAAAAGTACAGCGGAAGGAAGATAGAAGTGGCAAGTGGAGACGTGCAATTGAAGCCTTATGTTCCACTAGGAACCCAAGGAAACAATAAAAATAATAATAATACTACATACCAAACAATCAATTCAGAAGAGGCCATTAAAATCGAAATATATCAACAGGAGTTGTATAGGCAAAAGAAACAGGTACAGGCAGTCATTGTAATTCAGCGTCATTTAAGACAGTATTAATGTTGTTAATAATAATAATAATATTTCTTTAGTTATAGTGTTCATATAAATATAGATCCTGATGAAGACTGCGTTAAAAAGAGACGAACCTCGCCCTCCCCCCCGATTGCCTTATCTGAAATGAAATCATTCTTAATTTTGTAATCATGCAGACCATACTTATAGGTTTCGGTAAGTACTCAAATCTAGGTTGATACACTTTTGAATTTAAACTCGAAAAATTAAATGTTTCAATAATTTATAAACAAGTGTAATGAAATTATCCCTGAAGTGTAGATATACATTCGAAATGTTGTCAAGATGGTTTGTCAATATAATCTATTCATTAAAATGAGCCAATATTTTAAGAATTTTTTTTCAGCATTTAAGGATTTTCATCACCAATGTATTTAGGTAAGAAAGTTGGTTGATGCGCCACGAAAAGCATTTCAAACAGCCTGTTGAAAATCTTTTTACACAGCTGATTTCTTCAACTCCATAATGAAGGTCAAGTGACCAGACAGAAAGAATAGACAACAAGAAACTCTGCAAGTGAACCAATCAGGAATCTATCGTTCAACAAGTCTGTAGATGTGTCAGACACACACTGAGGAGACCGTTGAATGACATCGCACACATACGAATGGGAATCGACGAGTTGTTTTTGTGGGTCCAAGTATCACATAGAGGAGATCATGTAAGGAGATGACAGTATATAGTCAATCGTTGGACCTGGTGAGAGGACAGTGAAGTAGACAAGTGCTTTTGAAGTCCTATGTTCCACTAGGAATCTAAGGGAATAATAGCAGTTTTACAAACAACTGTATGCCTAACTATCATTTGTGTAAAAAAGGAAGTTGCTTAGCACATCTCTAGATCTACATGTCATCAAACTTTTTTTTGAATGTATGCATGTAAGTTTTATAACACGGAGGAGTGTTGTCGGTGGCATAGTGGTTAGGACGCTCGCCGACCATGCACATAGTTCGGGGTTCGATCCCCTGCCACCGACACACTCTTTTACCTCACCAAGCCAGAAATAACCTGGTAAAGAGGAAAGGTTGGGAATGAGGCTAGCAACCCCATCCTGTAAAATTAAACATTGCTACAGAAACTTCAAGCCTATGTTTCATTAGGGAATGTGAAGGGAAAAAATGATGTACAGAAAGAAAGTCACTTGTCTAACATGAATAAATCATTATTAGTACTATGCTGTGCAATCATTGTAAAAAGAAATAGTGTTTCCAAGGTTTTCTCACTTTCATCAGTAATGAGGCTGTTATTCAGAAAGTTATTTATTTATTCACTTATCTGATTCATTACTTTGAAATGCCTGAAATAATTTGTGGACTTATTCAAGATTTAGTTACGTAGAGACAGTAATGAAGAATCAGTCGCTGTCTTGTAATGCTGATTTCATTCGACGTGTTACTAACAACATTAATTATTCAGTGATACGGTAGAATACGACAGACTATTATTACTTTCTGTGAAGTGAAGCACCCCCCACCACCACCACATGAATGCTTCATAATGATATACACAGAGTCCCTCAATATCGTACAAAAGGAATTCGGATACGCCATCTGAAGCATTAGCTATTCGAGATCTGAAACCGGACTTCTGCATTCAAAAGTGAACACTGAGTGATAACGTTTCAGGATGAAGTCTAACATGAGAACTGTATGAAATCAAGTAGAAAGTAATGTAAATACCTTGATATGAGTATCTAGTTATTTAACTGGTGTACATCGGTGGCACAGCGGTAGAATGCTCACAAACCACACCTCATGTGGTCCGTCGTTCAATCTCTGGCCACAGATGAACTCTAAAACCTCGTTAACCTAGTAATACACGACTGGTAAAGAGGGAAGGTTGAAGGCATGAAGCTAGCAACCGAATCCCGTAAAAATAAACACCACTGCTAGCGAAACTTTAAGTCTCCAGCTTGAAGTAGCCCTATGTTCCACTGGGAACATGAAGGAAGTAAAAAAGTATTCTCCTAGTATTATAGTAGTATTTAAGAATAAAGCAAAAAAAGAAAAGAAAAGATTAAATACACAAGGTTTCTAAACAGAACATTGTTATAAATTATAATAATAATAATAATACCTTGCTTGAAACTACTCTACTTATCTGTTATTTCCTATCGGATCAGGGCTTTGATCATTTCAAATGATGGTCTCACTAGGAACGCTACAACTGATTGCATACAGAAATAAAAGTATATCCGCTGAATGACTCCCAATTAAAAAGAAAAACAACGGGAATTTAACACAACAAATAAAAATTATTCACTACAACTTAATTTATTTTAAAAGTAAATTTTAAGAATAAATTCACACTTACATCTATTTTGGCGCAATATAACTCCTGTAAATTAAAATGTGAATTCAATATCCCACCGAGTATAATTATCAGAAATATATAGATGTATATATGTAGACGATTAAAATGACCACTATATAGAATATTCTTTGTGTCAAATGTCTTCTCCTCGAGGAATTCAATAATCAATTAAATGATGTATGTACTCAAGAATTAAAGTTCATAATAGTATTACTATTGTTATTATTATTACTACTATTGTCTTTTGTGTTTCTACCTCTTGTCGACAAAGAAGTTTCTTTAATTCTTCAATTTCTTCTTCAGAGAAAATATCAACTGATGTTGTTGTTGTTGTTGTTGTTGTTGAGGAGATGATATCAGACAATAATGTCTTGAGTAATTTACAAGCTTGATAAAAAATGTGTTTGTGTATGTGTGTGTCAACGTGAAAGAGCCAGCGACTGAGCCGGAGTAATGCTGCTGCTGCTGATGATGATCGATGATAAGAACAAGAAATTAATTAGATCTACTCTGATAAGCGTAATCATGAAAAATAACTTAAGTGTGTTTTTGGTTCTCTAGTTCACAAGGTGAACAAAAAATGAACTTAATTATTAGGAGAGACACAGAGCCAGAGAGAGCAATATGTTGTGTGTGTGTGCGTGTGCGTGTGCGTGTGTGTGTGTATAACTAAAAGGATGCGAATATAATATATGACTGTGTTGTGCATTTATTTATATGCCTTATTTGTAGGCTTGTTTCATTTCATCTTCATTACGATTGGATAGATTATCATATTGTTAACGCTTATATAGGAATATGTCGCCCAAAACATTTCCACCAATCACAATCTAGCTAAGCAACATCACCACCACCACCTAATGATCATATTCGTAAAAATAATATTAATAGTAGTAACAGTGGCAATCAGAGAATAATATTAGTCTATAATCGTAACATATGAAGGTGGCTATACCTTATCCATTTTTATTCGCCTTCCTCCTCTTGCGTCGTTCTCCGCCTCCTCCGTTCTTGTGTGTATGTCAACTAACAATATACCTATAACGGACATGCATTACTCTTCGTTTCTCTCTTATCTAGAGAGAGAGAGAGAGAGAAGTGAACAAAGCGCACCAATCCAATTCATGCGGGTCAGATTAGAGATTTGACTCAATGCTACTACGCCCTGATTGTTGATTGGTCAATTCAGCATTATCAGGAATTTACATCTTAGCTGGTAGAGATTATCACTAGAGATTAAAAAAAAAACTAGAGAGAGACTGATTCAGGGGGAAGATATCCGTGAAATGGAATGGAATCGTCATATATTATCTACTACTACTATGTGAATTATATGTTGTGTTATTTTCTCTGTGTGTGTGTGTGTGTGTGGGTACACATGTGTGGAGGAGAGAAGAAGAGGCAAGGCAATATAATATAATATACAGGAGAAAAATGTATATATATGGATGATAGCCAGAGTGAGTGAGAGAGGTAGAAAAATTTTCTGAAGAGAAGAGACTGTAACAGAAATTTATAATATATTTAATGGACATAATTAAGACAAAAAGAACAGATTTCTATGAAAACAGAATGATGCTGTTTTTATATTTTCCTATTTTTCCAGATGAAGTTTATACATGAAAATATGATTATTATTGATTTGTCTAATGCAATAAGTTGAAAAAAATGTAGCTTTTTTTTATTGTTATTGATGTTTTCGTAATGGCCATTGGAGATTTGTTTCAAGTTTGGGCATGGAATGGTATCAGTTAGAAAGGGATTGAAATTCAGTACTAGAGCAGTGGGTAGGGACTCATCATCAGTATGAACTCCCTGGTGTTCGGATATAAGAGTTTCTGGTTACAGAGCAGACTCGTAGACCATTCAGTCACTGGGACCTGACTCCATCAGCCATGAATTCTAGCTTCTAGTGAGAAGTTGCAGCCAGCGGAGTCACATATGACATTGGCTAGTGGTTGCGGTGTCATTACGAATTGGTAGAAGTTGAAATTTATGGGTTGGTCATTAATTGAATCGAGTCCCAGTTGCAGAATGGTCTGGAAGGTTCTAGACTCGACCCCCACCAGGTGGGTACTGTTGATGAGACCCAAACTATGACGTCTTGTAGCATAACATTGTTTCCAGCTTAGACAAGGGGGCTAAATTTGTTAGGAACATCTTGTTAAACAAGCTTGCTGAAACTCAGACTGACTGTTGGGTTGTCAGTTGACTTCATTCTTATTTCTCAGGAAGAAAGCAGTGCACTGTATGTCAGGGAAAGTCGTCCACTTCGTTGCTTACTGAGGCTGGTGTCCCTCAAGGTGTTGTCCTTTCTCCTTTTCTGTTTTCTTTCTTCTTGCATGACTTGCCTCACTCTGATGAAATGAACTTTGTTAAGTATGTCGATGATCTAACTACTTCAACGTCTGTTAACTCCCAGCTAGACTGTACTAAGATGAACAGTTTTCTATCAGGAATTAACAAATGGTCTTCGTCTAACAGTCTTAAACTAAATCCTTCCAACTGTCAGACTGTTCATTTCAGTTTCCGATGTAAAAGAAAGTTAAATGAAGCTGTGGCTCCATATGACCCTTGGAAAATTGATGATACTGATATAGAAATCAAGTCTGAAGTTAAGTATATTGGATTAATTCTTTCTTCTGACCTACCCTGGTCTTCCTATGTCTTAGAGATTTCTAAAAAAATATATAGTCTGACTTTTTACTTTAAGAAGTTAAGGCACTCAGGCATAACCCAACCCCTCTTCTGACAGTTTGTCAACTTGCGTATTTTACCTATTCTTCTTTACTGTTCACCCTTGCTTATTCTTTCCTGGATTGCTTAAAAAAGACTATGTCATACTTCGTAGAACTCTAAAGACTGTCAGTAGGCTGAGTGGTATCCCATTGGGTCATATGGTTGACATTATCACTGATAGGCACTTGATATCATGCAACAAATTTGCTAAAGGAATTTTTTCAGACGGTGAACATCAACTTTATTCGTAGCTTTCACCTTGGGTCTCCTTAGGCAAAACAAGAAGTCTTTTCAGAAGACTTTGTTCACGTACGTCTAAGTATAAAAATTCCACTGTCCCATATTTAGCACGTACTTTATGTGATGAAAATAGTGTCAGACATGAACTAACTAACCTTCTTTGCACTACTAAATAAACCATTTCCTCCATCCCCTCACACCATCAACCTTTATTGTTATTGTATTTCTTATATTTACAATCCTCCCAATTTTTAAATTTTTTTTTCATAAGTGTGAACATAATTTAAGCTGTGTTATAACTGTTAATCTTGTATTTCCCCTCACCATGCTATATTAACAGAACATTAGATCCAACAATCTATAAGATGCTAAAATTTCCAAACTGAATCGACAATACTGTTTGTAACAAACTCACTGTTATTATTATTATTATTATAATATTTAATACTCTCAATTCGTGCTTAGAGTATTTTTGACTTTATATCGTAAACATGGACAAATTCCTCTGGTTAATTTTGTTTTAATTTTAATTTTACTTATATGTTGAGTAAATCAGATGCAATATTGTGACAAATGTTGAGAATTCTATTCTGTATTGTAAGTACTGCTCTTTTGAATAAAGTAGATTATTATTATTAGTTTCCTGAGGTCATATTATTGACTTTAATAAGGAGAAACTAATTTACGATTCTGACTGATATAGCAATGAAGTAAACGAACCTCCATATGTGATACATGCCTATCGATTTATAAAATGGTTGGAGGCAATCATCAAAAAGCCTTGGTTGGCCTAGGTCTCTTTTGCTTGTCGTCACTTATCAGTCAGTAAGGCGAATCTGCACTCTCTTCAAGGGACTCATTTCCTCTATGAAATTCAAGCCCCATATCACCCATTGGCGCACAGTCAGAGATGTTACTGTGGTGTGTGCTACTGATAAGATTCGTCAGTTTCACCGCCGACACTAACAGGTCTACATCCAACCCCAGCTTTGCGTCACGGAACTGCTGCATCACCAAATGTTTGTCCGTCAGGCTGTCAACCCCCTCCCCGCCACCAGTCATTCACCAAAAACTTTCCATGTCTCTTCACTACTTGACCGTTCCACACTGTCGTATACCGCCTTTGCCCTATCTCCCAGCGATGTCCCCAGCACAACCGCCTTCACTGTCGGATCCTTGATATCCACCAGTTTTGCGACAGCCTCGAAGTCCCTCAAGAAGCTCCTGATGTCTCTTACCTCGAAGGCAGCCGGTCATGGGACCTTCACTATCTGGAGGCTGTGACATCCAACTGTGACGGTAGAAGACAAGAGGCATGGTAAGCAAATATTTATTTGGAATTTGATATCTGTTGCAAACCGGCCACAAAGGCAGACAGAATTGAAGAGTCCTTCTCTTTAATATACCGGAGCCTAATAAATTGCCGAAATCATCGAGGCACCGCATACTCCAAACAGCAGAGGCTATTGCCATTCGCCTCAAACAACCAGTGCTCTGTGTTCAAAAGTAGCAAGTCCAGTCACTTCTATTACCCTGACCGGCCTTCAGTAGAGACTATAAACTCATGAATTTGTAATATTATCTTTCCTAATTTCTTTGTCTGACATTCAGCTTATTTTATGTTGATGCTATTGAGCTGTAATCTATCAATATTATTGATTCGATGTTATTTAAACAGCAACATTAATGTCGTTCATGACACTAATTCATTCAATCATTCACTATAATGTGTATATGTAACTGTAGAGCCTGATGATGATGATGAGGTTATCGAAAAGGGTATTCTTTGTTCAGTATCCATCTTTTGAAAATCTGATATCTCTACATACAGGAATTATGTACACCTTATCAGCAAACCGTCATTTGCGCAGATCTTCGGTGTTGTGCTACTTCTGCCCTTCATATTGTGTTTCTTTGTCTTTTTTGTTGTTGTTGTTTCTTTCATGTTTTGCCACAACGCTGATTCATTTCCTTTTTTTTAACGTCAAATCTGTCTCTCGGCTATTTGATGTTTTTTATGCCACTGTGAACGTCTGTGTTTATGTGCTATTGCTAATTCTTATGAGTAGCACACACCACATACCACTGAGCTATTCGGGTTCGCGACTGACCTCTTGTAGGCTTGTACCGGTTACTTTTATTGAACACTAGGTGTTCTGCTCCCAGTCCTTTGTTTGGTGCAGACAGAATTCTGTCAGTCAACTTTACAGTGTAGTCACCATCTAGTTTGGTGGCTGGCCATCGTGGCGCACTCCCAGTTGTTGTTGTTGTTCTTCT